TGGGGAAGGTGAACTTGCTGTCTAACAAGATTGACAAGCTGACTGCACTGAACAACCAGCTGATTTATAGCGAAAGCAGCTTGCTCATCTTTACCGAGACATGGCTAAAGCATCTTGTACTGGATGCTTGTGGGGTGTATCAGGGACAACAGGGGGGAAGAGGACAGGATTCTGGGGGGGGGGTCTTTGCCACCTGGTGCCGCACCAAACACCTGGAGCCCAACATCTCCGAGACCAGGGAGCTGGTCTTGACCTGGGAGGAAGGGATTAAAGACTAAGCCGGTACTACTGGAGGGGGCTTTTTCCAATGATAATGGCATAAGATAAGAATTGTCGTTGGTATTTATTAAATTGAAAAAGCTTAACAGAAACTCCTAGAACAATCAAAAGTGGGTCCAGCCTAAATTCTATAATAAACATATCTGAAAGTTTTGAATATGCCAGACCAAAATGTATTTTGTATGATTAATTTAGTAATTTTTGGGGTTAATTTTGTGAACAACAAATACAAACGTAGTAGTATGGCTTCTTAAATATGGCATGTGTCACATAGTAGGAATGTGTTAGGGGAAATTATGTAACTTCACTTTACAGTAATGAAGCCTATGAATGGTTTTAAATTGAATAAGGTGGTGTCTAGAGTTGGCAGAGCACTTGTGAATATTCTCTAGCGCAGACTTCCAGAGTTCGTTACTTATATCCATTCCTAATTCCTGCTCCCAGCCTGTTCTAAGGCTCTGCATGGATGGCGAGGATCTGGATAGCAACACATTATAAATCTGGGAGATTAAATGCCCTTCCCCATCACCCAGTTTAAAGAGTTCATCAAATTCATTAGGTTTTATATTTTCTAAAGTGCGCATTTGTCAGGATTTGTTTGTGTATTGAGGACCCAAAAGCAGAGGCAGGCAGGCAGAGGCAGGCAGAGGTGAATTTTTAGTAGATTTAATGAAGATTACTGAAACAAAGTCCAAAACCAAAGGCAACAGGAATCCAAAAATCCAAATGAAAACAAAGTCCAAAAACAAACAAAAAACCAGGAGTCCAAAAATTCAAAGATAAAAAAAACCCAAAACAAAACATGAAAACACAAGTCAAACATTACCAAAAAACCCAAGAGTCATCAGGGGTAGAACTGTAACCTGGAGGAAGGCTCAGAGAGACGAGTAGGAGAAAGACTGATGAGGTTAGACGAGGACCCAGCAAAGAGGGACTGAACAGCAAGAGTATTTACAGGAGACAGAAACAAAGAGAGGGCTAATGAGCAACCTGGGAGCAGGTGTGTACAGAGCAAGAGAGGAAAAGAGCTAGGGAAAAAGGAGAAACAACAAACAGAAACCAAGAAAACAGAAAATAACCAGAAAAACACAACAAAATAAGAATTAAACCCTTTAAACTAGAAAACAAGGAGTAAAGCAAAACTGGATACTCAAAAAAACAAACAAAAAAACAGAACCAAGACTGAAACAGTAACTAGGAATTAACCAGAAAACATAACAAAAATACAAATTAACCCATTTAAACTAGAAAAAAAGAAGTAAAGTAAACTGGATACTCAAAAGAAAAACATAACAGAACCAGAACTCTAACAGCATGTGTTTTTTTTTAAATATGCACTTACCTGTAGGTATCTAAAATAATTGTGTTTGTTGAGACCAAATTTGGCTTGAAGTTGAGAGAAAGAGGCAAAATGACCACCCATCAACAGGTCACCAATGCCTAGATCTTTCCATTGCGTATAACCTGAATCTAAAGTGGAAGGGACAAATGAAGGATTCTTTGCAATTGGCAATAAGGTAGATATAGATTTATTACCAAACTGGGATTTTATTTGTTTCCAAATACGTATACTATTGTGAATGATGTGGTTATTGTTGGATGCTAAGGTATCTAAGAGTGTTGGTGACAGAATAAGAGCACCAATGTCATGAGGGCTGCAAGCCTCCTTTTGTATTGTAATCCTATCGGATTGTGTAAAATTATGATCTAGCCAAATTGTAATAATGCAAAGCGTAAAATAGTAATAGTAAAATGAAAAATTTGGAAGGGCCAGTCCGTCCCTCCAATTTTGCTTTGCAAAGGTGAGATTTGTTGGCTTCATACAGCAAATTAAAGTCCCTAGTAATCTCTACTCCATCATAGGTGAATTTATTTTTAGCAATTTTAAATGGCATACGTTCCAAGATCGTTGGGTCTTTGAGCTTAATTGGCATCAGTTCCCTCTTAGAGCACCTGATTCTATAACCCGGAACCTGTCAAACTGAGAGATTGTATCCAGGAGTGTTGGTATAGTACACTGACAATTGGTTATGAACAGTAAAATATCATCCGCATATAAAGAAATTTCATTTATATTCCCTTTGGTAATGTATCCCTGTATAAGGGGGTTGGCACGAATTGATTGTGGGGTTCTAGGGCCAATGCAAAAAGTAATGGTGTAAGCGAGCAGCCCTGTCTGGTACCCCTATGTAATTGAAATGCAGGAGATAGTGTCTTATTGGTAACAATCCTAGCACAAGGTTTATGATAAAGGATTTTTTTTTTTTTTTTACCATTTTTCAAAGTGTTTGCCAAGATCATATCTTCTTAGGGTTGCAAAATAGGTAAGGCCATTCTGTTAGAACAAATGTTTGGAGTCGCCCACAAAAAAAGATGACTCAGAATAAAATATCTCCATGAACATATGGAAACAAAACCCCCAGAAATCTGACAAAACTAGGAAAAGCGGATGAACAAAAACAATTGCACCTTTAACTTCATAATTTGTTTTTCAAACTTAATTTAGAACAAGGGCAAACACAAACACTTAAGGGCTACAGCACACATACAGTATTTATAGTATTTTACACAGAGCACCAGAGCAGAGTGGCAGCAGAGCAGCAGCAGATCAGTTTAATGCTACGTTCACACCTAAAGCAGCAGAGGCAGCAGAAGCAGTTTACATGAAAAGTCAATGGTTGACATGCATCAAGGTGCAGCAAAAGGTCCTGCAGCGTTTAGAGCAGCAGGAGCAGCGCCTCATAAGCTTCAGAGCATCTAAGGCGCTTCACCATCAGCAGCTGCTGGAGTTGGAAACATTGAACTAACAAACATTGAACAGTAACAAACAGCTAACATCTCTAATCATAGATAGATAGAGCTGGGCCTGTTTTTCAGTGTTTTGTTATTTTACTCTACTGCACATAACTATGGGCTAAAGTTTTATGGCTATGGAGTGACAGAACCCTATATTTTTTAACATATGTTAGGTTTATTCTTTATACATCATGTGCATTGTTACTTTATTAGCCAGATTAGAGAGAGTAGATGGCCTTCCTTCACATTGGGGATGTCACTGTGTGTACGGAGGTCGTCGAATCAGGACAGCCTTCGTGTCTTTAAAAATACAGAGGATATGGGAACATCTTGGAGCCGGTCTGATAGAGGAGAGCTATCTGTAATCCTGAGGCATAGAGGCAAGCTACATATAGGTCAGGGCATGGATGGCGTGTCAGTTTCTGTTACGGACAGCTAAACATCCACATGATGCAACACATAGACTCATGAGCTATAAGAAGCAGGAGATGACCTTGTTCGGGGCTCAATCTTTACCGGACGCTTGCGGGCGTGATTTTTGAGCCCACAGCTGTGCAAGCTCCAAGCATTTTCTCTGTCCTGTAACGACCTGATCTGGAATAAACTCTTTTACTTTTTTACTCCTGTTTTTATAGTCCTTTTTATATGGATTTACCCAGTTTGAGTTAAGAGTAGTAAGTAACTTGCTCCCAGGAAAAGAACCGGTGGGGAAGTCCCAAGGCGCAACTGCTTTTTAGGGGACATAACTTCCTCATTTAACACATAGAAAGTATTTATGGAGCACTGCCTCTGTTTTTCTAACCCCCCAGTTGGCCTCAGCAGAACGCCACTCATACTGTGCCTTAATCTAGTTTTGCTGCAGTTTTCCTTACTGCCCACTTTCTTCTGGTCAAAGCTTGCTTTACCCTTAGAGCATACATAAGTTTCCTGGTTCATAACAGAAGGATTTCACTCCCCTTCAAACTCTACCTACTGTGACAAATACATATCTAAGCTACAATCAGCATCAGGGGCGTCAGCTGACCCAATACTCTAGAGGGGCATAATAGGCCTCAAAAAAGTAACGCTTGCATGCTCAGCGTGCAAGCTAAACAATTTTTGGGCAATTATTTATTTTAAAAAAGCATGGGCACGGATAATTATTGCAAGCACGCTAGCAAACATTTTAAAGCAATAGATAGTAGCTTCATCTGGTCTGTCAGCATCCAACATCAGCACCCCAGGCATACCCAGGTGCTGCAGATCCATAACAGGGCATGTGCCCCTGTGAAAAGGGTCTGCTGACGCCGATGATCAGCAGCTTTTCTTTGTTTTTGCAGAAACTGAGATCGGCTCCCAACCAGTAAAGGAAACGGTGAGGTGTGTGCAGCTTAGAGTTCTCCTAAATCTTTAGTAGGTCATATTTTCCTGTGTTGCACATCATCAGTAAAATCTGACTGTATAATGTTCTATTTCTAAGTGATGAGAAGAAACCAGATGGTCCTACAGAAGACTTCACCAGTGTTGAGATGCAGCAGTTACCATCTGATCAAGCTCAGGTATGCATCTTCAGTCACATCATTTTCGATGTAGTTGGAGACGCCTTACCTCTTAAAAATCATCTTTTACCAACATCTTGGAGACATTCATTTCTATTGTCATGGCTTTAAATCTTTGACCTCAGGAATTTTAATGAGAACCGCTCACTACTGTAACGTCTCTCTATAATCTCTATAATAAAGCTAGTCTTCCATTTTCTATTTTTCCATCAAGATTTCCATCAAGAGCAGACAGTAGAACATGAGGCTTTAAGATATTAGTTTTTTTTTAGCATGTCCACTTTAGCCAATCTAGATCTGGGAATAGATGTCACAGAGTTAGCAGATAGCTAATAGCCCAACAGCTTTGCTTTCAGCAGCAGACCATTATGAACGCCGCCATAAGGCTCCGCTTGATACTTTTATATGAAACTCTATTGAAAATGATTGACGGAGTAAAATCCTATAAAACTGAGAGGAAACTAGGGGGAGAGAGAGGGATATTGACAGAAAAGATGGAATGAAAAGAGAAAGTAAAACTGCATAAATAGACACAGAAAATAAATAGTAACTTCTAAAAGTCTGCTTCCACACCTGGATGAGATGAGAGGGACATAGAGCAGCAGCTTCCAGAGCAGCAGGTATCCCACAGATATCCATGTGTGCTGATTCCACCATATTAATCAGGGTGGGATAAACCTGTAGATGCAGCTCAGTAGATACAGTAGTATTAGTGTGAATCCGTGAACACCTGGGATCAAAGAAAAAAATAACTTCACCCACACTCCTCCACGATTTCCCTGTGCATGGAGAGAAAGATGTTCTCTCATTTTCAGGTTTCCACTTTGCAGCAGGAGTCAGGACTTTTGTTATGCTATTCATCACTATGAATGTTTTGTGTAAACAGAAGTATAACTATCAGCAGGAAAACAGGAAGTCCTCCTCTAATTGGCTTCAAAAAACAAACTGAATCCTTTTGGGTTCATCTGTGAAAACCTTCCAGTTGTCATGATGGGTCTAAGGTGTTTGACCCACATGCAGAAGCACTCACAGAGACTGGAAAAAACTTAAACAGTTTATTGAAGAGATAACTGTACAAAGACTAGGAAAAAAACGGAGGCGGAAGTTCTAGTTCTAGTTCAAGGACTGCAAATACTGGCCGATTGTCTGAATACAAGGTTTGACTTGGACTCACTGAGGTTGTTTGGGAGGGTTCCAAAGTTCCAGTCTGTAGAGGCTTGATCTGTAGAAGGAGTTGTTCGTTGGAGGGCGGACAGGCAGACTATGGTGGTCCCGAGGAGCAGCTGAGCAGACTGATACAAAGTTCCTGAAGTGAATGGTGATCGGAAGAGGAGATCTGTGTCCTATTCTCAGTGTGACGAGAGAGTCCCTTTCAAGACTTGAAGGGCCTGGCTTATCCAGTTGATCAGTAATATCTTGCCGGAGAATCAAAAGACAAAACTTGGTCAGCGGTGAGAGCTCAGAAGAAACGGGGACTCAAAGTTAGACTCTGCAAACTCTGAGGGGCTAGAGTACCCAATACTGGGTTCCTCTTGCGAGGAAGTGAAGACATTCTGCTCCTTAAATACTCCTCAGGAAGTGATGACCCAATAGGCTGCAGGTAGAGCAAGGAGAACAATGGCACCATCTGGTGGTTGCACAGTGGAACTGCAAGAGAACAAAAACAAGCCCCACAAACTGGAACCCTAACACCAGTTTGGCTTAATTCAAACAATTGTGTAAAGCAGAGTGGGCCATGGACTGATCCCTTTTACACAGAGGGTCATATTTTCTTCATAAAAAGAATCCTTGTTTGAAATATCATCTTAGCTTTGATGTATTTAAAGGAGACATGTGGGTAAAAGAGGAAGAAATCTGTAAGGGGAAAGATAGGTTTGGACAGAAGTGTAGTTTTGGTACTGCTTCCATTGCTCCCTGTCATGGTTTATTTCCCTCCATTTGTTCCCTTAAAGGTTGCAGTGTGTGTCTCTGCTAATGTCAGGAAGAGTGAACGGGACCGAATGATGTACAAGGCGATGAGCATGGGCGTCGCCTACGCAGCCAACATCGGTGGAATCAGCACGCTGCCAGGAACTTCTCCTAACCTCATCTTCTCTGAGTATCTGAACCAGTGGGTGACAGCTGTTTATATATGATATCATAAGCATTCATCTTTTGTATATGAATGGAAATAAACTCCAGCGCATGTTTACATTCAAACTGTTGACCTCTCTTCACCTTCAGGGTTTACCCAGAATGCAACTGTATCAACTTTGGGAATTGGCTCCTGATGTGCTTTCCTATCAGTGTAATAATGATCTTTCTTACATGGATATGGCTGTACTGGTTGTTCCTGGGCTCAGAGTGAGTGTCAAAGAATGCATTTATTAAATCATTATCGCAAGAAATCCTCAGATTTTTATACAGTTCAGGTCAACAAAGGTCACATGGTGCAAAGCACAGAAAAGGAGGGTTACTGCAGCTTTTGGCTTATGTGGTGCACAAAGCGCTTTGCTTCCCCACAGTTAAGATGGTGACAGGAAAATAAACCCTCACACTTCAAAACAAAGTTAGCCATTCTTGTCCTGCAGCACTTCCCAAACTTCACAAGACTCAATATTGACATCATCAAGCCCAACTGACCCCAGCCTGTCGTTGGCCAAGCTGACTAGTGGAAGGGGTGACATACACGGCAGACTGAATGCACACAGCAGGAACTATGAATAACTCCTGAGTTACTACATGAGTCTTTCTCTGAAATACATGCAGTCTCAGCATTTGACATGTCAAACACAGGTCCTCTAGTTTCCCTCAGACCAGAGTTCAGAAGAGTTATTTCCAAAGCAGGTGAGTTTGGTTTGACCGGAGCCAAATCATGCCAAACTCAATCTCAGAAAGGCAGTAGGAAGTAGTGATATGGCTCAAATTATCACAGACTATAGTCTGTAGTCTACAATTCTTAGCTGAACATCACAGGATATCCACTCATGACATCATGGCATTTCTTTACCAGCAATTTGTCTTATTAAAAATGAACATAAAAACATCCAAAAAGCCAAATCCAGAAATTGTTTTCCCCTCATTTTACAACAAGAAGAGAAAAGTCAGCTGAAGTTGTCAGACTCAATAAAGCTAAAGATTACTCTGGTTTTCTGAGCAGACTTAAATCATTGTATCTATATTTAACTCTTATCATTTTCAGGTTTACACAACTGAACATAGGAAAGCATCCAACCCATTCCTCCCAGTAAAAACCTCCTCACTGTCTCTACAGCTTTAGCTTCCTGTGGCAGTGCAAAGGGGGGCAATCAGAAAGAGAGAAGGCTGCACGAGGTGTCATAGAAGAGGAGTACAGGTCACTGGGACCCGTTAGGTGATTACTCTTTCATTCATAGATCCATTCTTAATGCCTTTTAAATCCACCGTGTCTCATAACAATACTTGCAGTTAGTGAAGTGTAACTCTGATATATTTCTGCCATTTTGTCCTTCTAGCCCTCAGGAGATTTTCACTGGCATCATTTTCGTGGTGATGGTGCTGTTGTGGTTAACCAGATCTCCAGGCTTCATGCCAGGCTGGGCTTCTCTCTTCCCTGAGTAATTCACACTTAAACAAACTTTTGTCACAAAAATTCACTGACACCAGAACTTATCAAGCTTCACTGTTACCTTAATGCTGAAGTTTTTCTCTTGTTTCTGGAACCCAGTTTAGTTAAGTTCAGTTTAGATCAATGCCACCTCAGTCGATCGAGCCACTGGGTCTTATGCAAGAACCGTTCTTACAAACAAGTTTCTTCTTAAATCGTTCATATGAGTGAATTATGATAGTGTCCATTTTCCTCCTGTCTCTAATCGTCTCTTAGGTAGAAACTAATTCTCCTCCAGAATGATGTCGAAGTCTAATTACATCAGTCAGCTGTTAGTTTCTCTTTAGAAGCAATCATCCATTTTTTCAGATTGTATCATTATATATTCTGCAGCTCTACAATTTTAATGCCATTTCATTGGCTGATAATAGTCCCTCCCCCTGCAGCTGGCAGGAATCATCAGTTAACATCTGGATGTTTGGCTCTGAATTCATCGGTTAACATCTGGATGTTTGGCTCTGAATTCATCGG